TAATAATACAGTTTATATGACAAAATAAAAACTCATTGATTCAAAACATGGCTTAAAGTGTTCATAAGAACGATCTTTATGGGCTTGCATTACCATATTTTAATTTTTAAGCCGTTCCGAATTAGTGTGCAAGCTGCAGCATGCTAATGCTAAAATGGTACATATGGTTCGACGTGTTTGCTTTCTTTTTCTATGTTGCGATGTTGAATTCCAGGGCTAAACTTTGCTGATGACACGCAAAAAGCTTGGACGTTTGTGATCCCTCAGAATGTTTCAACACAAAAATAACACATCCCTGCTCGCTGCGTCGTTCTGTGAGCTGCATTGTGCGACGCGGCTGAATGCTTCTGCAATTGAGGAAGGTTCACTCGTAAGCAGATTAAAGCATAAAGGGAGTGAAAAATGTTGCTGTAAAAAAAATAGCAGGATTATGATCCAAAATAAATTGTGCACCAAATTGAGAAAAAGAGGCCAAAAAGAAGAAACACAGAGCCCACCCCCCATCTATTTGACACGAGCTGAGTGTTTCTAGCAGCACTACGACACTCACAACATCTATTAACTCTCACATCCACAGTCTGAATCCGGGATTTAGCACCTGCTTTACCAGCACCAGCCTCAAGCCAAATCTGTCATTGTTACCTAGTTTTTATTCAATACCGGAGTGCCAACGTCATCTAGATGACTGTGCAGTACATATAAATCTCTCGTGCTGCCTTCACAGGCCCTGAAGGGATTTATGAAAATTGGGAGAGTTCAGGTTGTCCACCAACAGGCTGTGAAACTTAATTTATGTCACGGTCTTACTGTGAGTTTGAAAAATCTGCTGCGATCTGCTCGGAGAACTCCCGGGTTTATTCATCGCCTCCCTAACAGCTGGTGCTTTAACGGCCCTCGCAGGACTGTCTGTCTTTTATTTTCCCGGTTTACACATTCTCACCTTGCGGCCCGGCAGCGAATCGATAACCGTCGCCTCCCGGATTTATTTTGCAGATGCTATTTTGATGCTGACGGACACACCGCTCTGTAGAAAACCTGATTTTCTGAGCAGTGTGTTGATATTTGTGTTGCCCGTCTTTAACCAGAATGAGTCTTAGACGTAGAGGAGATGCTGCACTCATCATTCAGTCTTTACCTTCTTCGCTGTTTCATTTCTCTACGGCGGCTTTTCACTCCGGTGCGATTACAACACAGACACAGGACAGGTGACAGCTGTGAGAGAACCTGAACCCGGCCCGGTCCGAGGCAGAGGGACGGACAGACAGACAGAAAGAGAGAGAGCAGCAGAGTGTATCTGCGTACCGATGGCGAGTTGGGGCAGAGTGCAGCCCAGCCGCTCCGCGATCGCCTGCAGCTCTTTCAACTTCGCCTGCTGACGCCGGCCCTCCTCGCTCAAGATCTTGTCCTTCAACCACTGGTAGCCCTGTCGAAAACACAGCACACCTGCTCAAAAACGCAGCCCTGCTCACGCCGGCGAGCCCGAGCCGCGGCTCCCGTGTCACCAGGGCCTGTTTTTAAACACGTGACTCTGTCTTCAGCTGTCAGCGCCTCAGCCCGGGGAAAACAAAGCTCAAGCTACACTTGTTCAAAAAGCAACAATTTCTGTTTTTTTAAATCATTTTTTACAAAATTACAAAATATTCACAAAAAATCACAAATACTTGAAGTACATCTAGTCAGCTGAGCCATAAAGTGAAATTTCTGGGATGTTATGTGTTACACATCAGGACCAGACGGAGTAAACATCCACAGGCAACACTGAGCCAAAGTGCAAGCAGGAGCTGAACAACACCAACACGAGGGAGCAGCCACAACACCAATCAGTGAACGTCTAGCTGACACACAATCCACAGACACACAACATGCCACGTCACCACTGTGGGACACTGCACTGYACAAGTTCAGGTGTTCGATTATAATCCTCATTTCAAAGAGATGATACATATCAACACATACGATCTGTTCCTTTACAGCTAATTTTTCTGCTTCAGTGTCTGAACTTTCACAACTWCCTCCTCTCTTCATTCATGATGTGTTGAAATAAATATTTGTATTTTTATATATCCTCAGAGTAAAAGTCKCCTACACTTGATTAGCCTGAAATAACCCTTATTTAGTTTTAGTTAATTTGACAAAATGCTAAATGTGTTCTGGTCTCTGTGTTTCAATCAGGGTTCTCACACCTAGGTCAACATCAAATTCAAGGACCTTTCAAGGACTTTCCAGTACCAATTACTTCAAACTAAAGAACCACGYGCAACGGCAATTACATACCGCTACCACAGAATGTTACCAATAAACAGGTTTATGTAAATTCATTGAAAAACTGAACAACAGAGAAGTTGTTGAGTTAGAAACAATGACGTCAGTTTACCGTAACCCTGAGTTATCCACATTGTTGTGTACATAGTTATCCAATGTATGTTTTTTTATTTTATTTCATTTTTTTTAAAAGATGAAGAAAATCAGTCATGTGAACAGAGAATTTCAATCCCCAAAAAAACATTCAAGGACTTTCAAGGATAAGAGTAATTTTTGGCTGTTTTCACAAACTTTCCAGGGCCTTGAAATGATTTTTTCAAACTCACAAACTTTTAAGGATTTCAAGGACCCGTGGGAACCCTGTAGATGTCTTTGAAAAAATTAAATAAATAAGAAAAACTCAACTAAAATTTTATTTTGGGTAAAAATGAAGGCGTATTTGTTTCAGCAGCGACAAATCAGAGCTGTTTGGAAGCGTGCTGTTATTTTGTGCGTCTGTCGTGCGTGTGCAATAAAACAACTTGGAGCAGCTCTGCTTGCAAAGGAGTGCGAGGAGACAACACGGCACTGAAAACACACGGGTACACAGTTTGCGTGGTGCGCAAAGAGTTACAGAACCTGAAAGAGACAAAAAACACAATGAAACAAAACAACCAGCAGGGAAAAACACAGAACAGTGGAAGCGGCACAGATGATCGGAGAGGACGGTAAACAGCAGGGGAGCGAGGGGGTGTGTTCTACCTTTAGAGATGCCCGAGAGTAAGGAGGTACCCTGCCGTCATATTTCCCTGAGATGATCCCGCAGGCCAGCGGAGACCATGTCATAGCTCCCACACCTGACAAGAAAAATATGGAGTTACTGTTGAAAACAACAAGAAAAAAAAAAGCCACTGATGATGAAGAAGCTTAGATACTAATATTCAGATATTCAGTTCTGCTTTCTACTGAAGTGGTAAAAAAAGAAAAAAAGAAAGAAAGAAAACAAGAAGAAACCCACTTTTTAAAACCATGACCTAAGAACACATGTGAAAGCACCTGCAGCTGTGTTTACCAGCTAACGGGATCAATTCTCCACCTAAAGCCACAACTACATCAGGGCTCACCGATCTTATGAAAGAGCTCGGGTAGCTGCACCTCCACTTTCTCTCTCTGGAACATGTGGTACTCCGCCTGCTCACAGATGGGGGGGATCTGGTTGAACTGCCGTGCAACCGAGTACGCTTCCTGAAGGAAAAACAACGCAAAACCAGCCAGGCTCAAACCACAATGTAAAAAACATTTGGAGATTCGCTTCCTAGGAGAACACAACCGGAGAGTTTATTTTCTTAAACCCTTGAGACTTTCTCGTTTTAATTTTAGAACGTCATCTTCGCAGATGCATGATTTTCTCACCATTATTTCCATCGGGCTCCACCGGGATGTGCCCCAGTACATGGCCATGCCTTGATTTATCACATGGGTCATGGCTCGAACCGTTTCTGCAAAAAACACACACATGAACATGCTAAAAATGGCCTCTGTGCTGCAGTGGYCCGGTTGTGTTTACTCCAGCATGCTGCGACATGATGCAATAAGCCTACTGTACACACATCTGCTGGGTCTTTAATCTTACGGAAGGCACATTTGTCACAATTTGCACTCCACACTGCGTGGACAGTTTAGGAGGGAGGGGGAGGGAAGCTGATTATGTTAATTAGAAAGCTGGGAATCCTCATGAGCATGACATCTGATCCTAACAAAGACCCTTTTGAATGACATTCCTGTTAAAATTTACCAGAATACGTCTTCTTTTTTTTAATCTACAACRTGCTACGTGAAAAAGAAGTCAAGTGAAATGAATAGGAGATGACAGCCGTACGTACACCAGTTCAAATCTTTAATCGAACACAAAGTGGGTTGACACACTGGATGACAGCTTATGTATTTTAAGCACCGAGGGTTAAAAACATGTCAGTTTCCTCCCTGCTTGTAATAAGCACGGTGAATGTTAAAGAGATTCACGTCAAGACATAGAGTCAACACTTCATCGTATTTTATTTAAATCTAAGAATTTCATTACGCAGCCATATCTGACCATATCTGCGGTGACGAATAAAAACCTTGCATCGCCGGACTCTAATTTCCGTTCTGTTGGCTCGAGCGACACCCGGTTATGTGTGGCTGCAGAGCAAAAACACGAAACAGGTTAGATAATGATCGGGCGTCTCGGAGAAGAGCGGGAGCATAGGAGTGTAATAAAACCAGATTGCATCAACCCTCAGTGATCCTGCATCCATCTATTAACTTTACTGATGCTCTGCTTTGAACAAATCAAATATTTTATCATCGAGTGGGCGCTCTGCCTTTAGAGGGTTCCTCTACGGTGACAGGGTTGTGGTTTTCCTTCTTTTTCACCCTGTTTACCCCTATGGCTACTGCCAAAATAAAATATACCAGATGGTTTCAACCACTGTACATTTGAAGACAGACTTTCAAAGCTGTCCATGAGGACCGAGCGCAGTTGTAAAAGGGATCGACGATTAGTTGGAACATTAGACTTTATTTGATAAACATATACTGTATTTTAACTGTAAAATAGACTGTAAAAACTGTAAAAAAAAAAAAAAACTCAGCCTGCAAATGAAAACATGGATGGAGGACAACAGAGCTGCTTCATGAAGGAAGAATCGCAGCTTAGCCTGTTAGCTTTAGCACCGACGCTATATTGCCTTATATGTATTAGCTCGGCGCTAGCACGACAAACAAACAAGCTAAACTGAGGTCCTCCATCCATATTTTCAGTTACAGRCTGAGTCATTTCTACCTTCTCCTCTCTGTCAACGCTCTCTGGTTTCATTTAAAAGAGCCAATCATCAGATATTGTCCAAGATTAACCTTCAGGGTGGATATAGCTTGCCTTGAGGACCTATCATTTACCCAGAATGCTTTGTGTGTAAATTAATGGCTCAGTCCGTGTATTATATTTGTAGAAATCTAGTTTAAAAATTACAAAACTAAACAGCCTACAGTATTTTTACAGTCTTTATTTTACAGTTAAAATACTGTATATGTTTATCAAATAAAGTCTAACTAATCGTGGATTCCTTTAACGGGGACGATGAGGAGGGAAAAATTTGACTTTTTCACTAAACACCACTGGCTACTTCTCCCAAACTAGATAGTGAAGTATTGTAAAAGAGCCCGAAGCATCAAACTAAAGGCYGAAAAAACAAAACAAAACAAACCTCAAATAATGACCTCTGATTCGACTTTAACCTGCAGAGGAACTCAACCGCCGGAACAGATGATACTGCGAGTCCATCTGAGCCCACACATGGTTAACACTCTGCCATTTAAAGGTCTCCAGCATCAGTGTTTATCATCGTTCTGACTGTGGAGGTGGAAGCATCCTGACCACATGCAGCATTTAAAAATAGATATTTCGGTTACAAGAGCTGTGTATATCTAAGTCTTCACACTGCAGTAGTCATAGAGACRAACGGGAGGCTTTTTTTTAAGACATACAACAAAATAAGAAAAGCATTCAAAAGCAGAAAAAGAAAGTTAGACAAACTTGCCTTCCATAGGTGTGTTGGGGTCAGGTCTGTTGGCGAAAACCACGTCCACATAGTCTAACTGGAGTCTTTCTAGAGAAGCCTTTAAACCTGAAAACGAGCACTTCGGTTACTGACAGTGAACCCTGGTTGTGAAAGGAACTTTATGAAAGCGCCTGATGGAAATGAATGCTAATCTTCTCAGTTTATCTGGGTTATTGTCCCCACTGTTGTCTTGGCAACTGCAATAATCTCAGGAGAAGGCAGATTATTGAATTTCAGCATCGATTCCTTTGACCTGAAGACACTAATTAGAATGTAAGTTATTAGTGCGGYGTCAACATTTAATCCGGTGACTGTGATGCTTACCTTCTATAATGTGTTTTCGGGATAAGCCTCTTTCAGTCTCTGCTCTACAAGAAAACAAAACACAATTTGTGTTAGAAAAAAAAATACAGATATATTATTTCAAATACAGCTGGACGTGAACCTCAGTGCTGACAATACATCACTTGATCCTTTCTGAAATATGAGAGGATGTTTTCAATTTCACTGAAAGGACCTGACAACAGTTCAGTCTGGATGATACGTGAGCCGGTTCCCAGGGGCATCGGCATCAGACAGTGTCAGGAGAAATTACACAGGAAGATAGTTTTTTTATTTTTATTTGGCAGCTATATGAAACTTACTTTCCACCCCAAAAGATCTTGGTTGTTATCACCAGACTTGAGCGTCTAAAAGAAACGGAGAACGACAGCACATCTGTTAGAACGCCTGCCATGCAAACCTGCCGAAACAGACGTTGATGCAGAAGCTGGCGAAATGCACAACCCGCWCTAAGATACAAAAGGTACGCTAAGATTATTTATGCCGACGAATTATGTGGACAAGTGCAAGTGTGTAACTTGATCKCAAACAACCAACGAACGTCAATCCAGGATCAGCAAGGCAGATGACAAAGCACAAAAAGTTCATCCATTATTCAGCATCTTTGAGCTCGGGTAARAGGCCACATTAATCTTGTGTGTTGTGAGCTGGAACCTTCCTGTTCCACTTCACAACACACACAACACACAACCTCATGATAGGTTAGAGAAGCGAGGTGATGCAAGGTTGGGCAGACTGGTACAGGGTAAGAAATTAAAAACCTGAGCAAACTCCATTGAAGTGTGCCTCATACCTCCATCCTTTCTTCTTTATGATGTTTCCGAGCACCACCTCTGCCCTGCGAAGCAGACGGAGAGAAAAGATTAAATAAAGGTCATACAGGAGCGATACGAGCGCTTCCACTTGCCTCGGAAGAGATTTCTGAGTTAAAGGAAGCGGCGACTCTGGACACATGCTGTATAATGGAGCTTTTAGGCTGAAGAGCACCTGTGTAGGATTGGTCTGCGTGAATTAGCTCCCAGGTCAGACTCAGCGGGTGCTGAGTCACTGCTGTGTGGCTCATTAGCAGCTGAAGTGGTGCTAATGAGTGACATTACGTTCAACATGGGGCTCATTAGGGCCGGGCACACAGCTGTCGGTGGGACGCCTCTGCTGTTCCCTCACTCTGACAAATAACAGGATGCCTCCTGGTAGGATGGTTGTATTTAGATCTGTCTAAKGCGCACTCATGTCCGCGGTCACGCGATCGCGCAAAGTTATATGTTGCTCACCCAGCGCCACCATTTTGGGGGAATCTAAATCATAAAAACAAATCAAATCAGCAGCAGAAAATGCCTAAATGGTGTCATTTACCCATGCAACATGATGCAATCCGCTAAAGTTGAGTAAATTTTCACGCCTCCATCCATTATCTCCCGCTTTATCCGAAGTCGGGTCGCCCAGATCTCTCTTTCCTCAGCCACCTCTTCCAGCTCTACTGGGAGGACTCCAAGGTGTTCCCAGGCCAGCCGAGAGACAGTCTCTCCAGCGTGTCCTGGTTTTTCCTCATTTTCATGCATTTAAACAAAAATAATAATAAACTTGTGTTCTTTTATTTCATGATAGATGTAGTACTCCTATTTTAGTCATTCATGGATGATGTTTCTTCATATTGTTGCTGGCAGTCTGTATCGACACATTTACAAGTCCCAAAATTCCAACTTCTGCTCAGAYCTGTTATTGACTCCTCCCATTAAAGAGGACATATGTTTTTAAATCCTTCTTTTTCACATTTAAATAAGGATTAAAGTCTATATAAAGTGGCACTGTGATGTGTTGGTCGGAATTCCTATTTTTAGTAATAACTCCACAAGCCCCTCTTTCACCCCTTTTCTGAGGTGTGTCTCWGATCAACTTGTTTTGAAGCTGTCTCTCTAAAATCCAAAAAAGGCGCTTCACACCCCATCCAGCTTCCAGACCGGTCTGCTCCAGTTTGACAGAGGGGGTTTACGACTATCTTGTGCCGCAGAAATGTTTTCTTTACATGTTACTTAAAAGATGTCAACAATGAAAGACTTGTCCATCCAGCCTTACACATTGGAGCCAGAGGAGAATAATTGTAGTTGGTAAGTCCAGGCCTTAGTTGGCAGTTCTGTCACAAATATTTTAACGTGATAGTTCAGAAAACTTCATAGAAAACAGAGAAAACTGAACGKGTTCGAAAATATGACCCTAACAGAATATAAAGATATTTACGCAGCACTTGGGAAGACTAAATTCAACTTTTCTGCACTCCTGGAGACTAAGTCCACAACAAAATGTATTCAACGGCTTAAAAAGTGGATTTTGCATGATCTGTCTCTTTAACTTGTGTTTCCAACCACATTAACTTCCTTAAACCAGTCACTACCTAATCAGTGTGAGATTTTGTAGACTGAGGCTTGTAAGGCAAATACATTTTTTTAGTGCAGTGATAAATACAGCAAGCTGCTCTAAACAGTGGTTTGTTTCCATGTATCAAAGCTGTGTTGACAGCTGCACGGATAATTCACTGCAGCTACGAGGCAGCTCCCTGATGGCAATCAGTTTGTGTCAATCACTTGGAGAGGTGAGGAAGTCTGACAGGTTGGATCAGACGGTCATGTCTGACGATATGTAAAATCGTCTCAATCACAACGAAACAAAAGGGTGGTGTTTGATTATTTTACCATATGAGAGCCGAACAAACCTGGTGTTTGAATTAATTTGTGTACAGCTGCACTTATACAGCCTGATATTACCGGGGCTTTTAATTTGATCTGTTATATTAGTAAAAAAAAAAAGTTGTGAAAATGGACTCCGACTGACCAGTTATGACCGTGTATAATTAAATTGAATTTAATCCAAGTCTATGAGCGCTTCGCTAATAAAAACCCTCCTCCTGCTGGTGCTGAAATTACTCTCTCTGACTTAATGAGGTCATCACATAATCATTGTTATTTTAGCAAAAGCACTGAGGGAGGAAAGGTAGAAATTTACAATGAAAGCAAACATATTTCACTGCTCAGACATTTTTTTACATGTTAGTTTATTGTTACACTAATCTATTTGACTAAGTTTGTGTAAACCATTATGCACAAAATAATGTCATATTTTGAATTTTTATTTATAAGTATTTATTTTTAATATTTCATGCTTTTGGACTCTAAAATGGTATGTTTGTTTGCTGATGCACCACTTGCTTAATTTGCACAGTCTCTTTGTCTTTCACTCTCTTTTGTAAATGGTTTGCTGCTGCTTTGCTGTGTGAATTTTAATTAAAGCATTATTTTATTCTGCTGTATTCCCAATGTTTTTAAGTTTCTTCAGATGCTGACTAAACAGGTTTTACTGGACAGCTCAGGTTCTAGATGATTTATTAGAAAAACAATCAGGGTCTGAAAAGTTTGACCTATTAGAACTTATTTCAACAAGTCTTACCAAGTGCAGTTGTGTTACTGCACTGGCAGATTATTTCACTTAATTACAGAAGGTTCAGACTTTAATCTAGTATTTTTAAACTTATTTGTAGATGGCTATTTTTTGCAGCTTGTATAAGAGAAATGGTCTGTTAAAAGTGATTTAGGAATTTATTTTTTATTTTTGTGAATTGATGCATTCGTGTAACGGCACCAATAGCTTCACACGTAAATTCAGTACATAAATTTTGTTTTAAAACCTGCAGTGCATCCTTTCCCCCACTCTCATCTTGCTCTTTATCGTTTCCTTTTTTTTACGCTGACAGGATCGTTTACGGAAAGCTGAGTGAATAATCTCTTCTGTATGGTTCTTCATGCTTCCTGGCCTGCTTTTAATTGAGTAGCTGATCTTATTGATAATAGCTGACAGTTTTCAGCCTCGCTGACCCGGTTTTATTAAAATGTATAAAATATAAATGTCAAAGCTCAACACTTTGCAGATGCTTTCACATAAAACCACGCTTTATAATAATCTTGGCAGGATAGCATGAAAATGGAAAAATAATATATGGATATATGATCTAATTCTGTGACACTGGAATAAACTAATAATTACAGTTTTGTTCTTATATGTTGATTTGTGTGCTTGGTTTCCTTTTGAATGCTTTTGCATGAATTTCTTTCATTATTTGCAGTTAGTCTTTTTTTCACACTTATTCAAAATTCCATAATACGATTAATCCCCCTCCTGCAACATTTTATTCTCCTCTACTCTTGTGTTTTTGCACGCTTCACTGTATGAATGAAACGAGCAGCACTATGAGGACAGATTTCAGACTCTGGGAGCTGAATCTATATTTTTGTTGTGTTTGTGAGCTTATAGCAAGTTTATCCAWGTGTACTTGTATGTGTTACCTTTGTAGGACCATTTCTGGTATACACACCTAACTTGTCAAGACCTGCAGTCCTTATGGGGACCAAAGAGTAGTGCCAGTTTGATGGAACTCCATTTTTGGGTTAGTTGTTAGGTGTAGGACACTAGGTGTGAACTGAATTAAAGGGATCCATGATTAGTTGTAACATTAGAATTTATTGAATAAACATATATTTTAACTGTAAAATAAAGACTGTAAAAATACTGTAGGATGTTCAGTTTTTATAATTTTTAAACTAAAAGTTAAAAAATATATTACACGGACAGGTCCATTTTATTTACACGCAAAGCATTCTGGGTAAATGATGACATGGATAGGTCCTTGGTGCGAGGCAGCTATATCCACCCTGAAGGTTAATCTTGGACAATATCTGACGATCGACTCTTTTAAATGAAACCAGAGAGCGTTGACAGAGAGGAGAAGGTAGAAATGACTCAGCCTGGAACTGAAAATATAGATGGAGGACAACAGAGCTGCTTCATGGAAGAAGAACCTCAGCTTAGCCTGTTAGCTTTAGCATTAGTCCCGACGCTATCACCATATATAGGTATTAGCTTAGTGCTACACATTCTCCTCTCGTCACTGAGGTCCTCCATCCACATGACAGAGAGAATGCAAAAATGACCCAGCCTGCAACTGAAAATATGGATGGAGGACCTCAGTTTAGCTTGTTTGTCGCGCTAGCGCCGAGCTAATACATATAAGGCAGTATAGCGTCAGCGCAAGCGCAAAGGCTAACAGGCTAAGCTGAGGTTCTTCTTCCATGAAGCAGCTCTGTTGTCCTCCATCCATATTTTCAGTTACAGGCTGAGTCATTTCTACCTTCTCCTCTCTGTCAACGCTCTCTGGTTTCATTTAAAAGAGATGATCGTCAGATATTGTCCAAGATTAACCTTCAGGGTGGATACAGCTCGCTCACACCAAGGACCTATCCACGTCATCATTTACCCAGAATGCTTTATATGCAAATAAAATGGCTCCTTAGTGTTAAAATATATTTATAAAAATTTACAAAACTAACTCTTTATTTTACAGTTAAAATATATGTTTATCAAATAAAGTTTAATGTTACAAGTAATCATGGATCCCTTTAAGGTCAGGTTTAGGGTTAGCTTTGTGCTTGGGGGGGGTGGGGGTTGAGAGTAAGAGCTCAAGGAAGAATGGACTGGAAATGAAGGGAAGTCAATGAACAGTCCTAATAAGGATAGAATTACAAACATACGTGTGTGTGTGCGTGTATCCCCTTCACACCTTGAGGGTTGCCATTGTGCAATGTGAGTAACCCGAGTGCCCAAATATAAAACACAGCATGCCTGGAGCGTGCTGCCTTTCCTCATCCATCCACTAATTAGGTCTTAATGCTGCAGAATTGACACCCTGACTGACAGCTGAAGCCACCATATAATGGTGCACTTTCCACAGACCTATAAAGCCATTTTACTTTCAGATTTCTCCATAATTGTGTGCAGCTGGTTTGCCACTCGGTTTTGCGAAATGTCAGCCATTTACGAAGCCTCTAGATCCAAATGTCTAGTCTGAAAGAAACTGAAATTGCGTTCTGAGTTGCAGACTTTGAAAGGTTTCAGAACCGTTTGTGTTTGTTGAAGGATATGCAGGAAACATTTATTTGTGCTTTTTTATTTACATTTCACGGAAACACCAGCACATTGAACAGATATGCTGGCGAAGCACGACAGCAAATATTTAAATAAAGATTGTGTGCTGAATATTTGGCCTTTTGGTTGTTTTTAGAGCTACAATAAACAGCTTGATCATCATGTTGATCTGTTCACTCTGACAGCGCAGAGTCAACATCACAGCAGCTGGATGCATCAACACCCCAACAGCCTCTGAGTCTGACGGAACATTATTGAATTAAAAAAAGTCAGTTTACATGAAAGCCATTTCCATGCTAATGCACAAAGTATGTGATGTGTTCAACTCCTGTGTGTATGCAGATTAAGCTTCTCGGAGCTGCTTTGCAGTGGAAGCTGTCAGGATTAACACCTGTGCAACACATCCTTGAGCTGCGTGACGGAAACACCAGCGCATGCCAGATTTGTCTGTCTGTTTAACTGCAATTTGTTTTACGGAAGCTCGTTGATCAAAGACAGGAGCGGACATACTTCTGTGCCAAAGATCACCTTTGTGCTCAGTTTACCAGCCTCGACATGAAACAACAAGAAGAGTAAAGTGTGCAGCGCCGACGTGCATCAGACAACAGCTGCAGAGGCATTAAATGAGAAATAAGGACAAACCTACTGCTTATTTTCTTTTTCTTCCGAGGCACTCTGATGCATCTCTCAAAATGTAATAAAAACGTGGAATATTCTTTGGGGATTATAAAAAAAAAAAAGAAGCGACTTGCTGCAGTTAATCAGATATACTGTTTGCAAAGGATTATCCCTTAGATTATTTCAAAGCACCCGAGTCACTACAAAGCCAGATTAGTCCACAAAAGAATTTAAACCATCGCTATATCTAGACGAAATGTGACGCGAGGCTGTTTTCTGAGGATGAATTATCATCAGTGCCTGTTCTCTAAATTAAGACCTTAAATATTCAACCTGATTTCAGATCCTTGCACGGGCCTGGAGACAATAATCTCCTTTGTTCTTTAACATTTGCACCTTCAAACACACAAACGGGAATATTTAAAAAAGAATTAGGTTATCAAGAAAAACATAGTGGTACTTGTTGTTTAACTGGGCGCTACCAATTTATTGCACAGGACAATAGAATAGAAGACAGTACAAATGAATAAAAGAATACGCTGTCCGCTTGTGTGTTTACGGCAAGTATGAACTGAATATGATAAATATTTATGGACAGTAAAGAACACTACAGACTGTTTCAGCAGTGGAACATCAGTAAAATATTATATTAGTAAGTTCTTAATGGTATGTTAATATACCAAGATAAGCTAAATGAGTCAGAATGAACAATGGTCTTACCTTAAACATACAAACATTTAAATTCCCTGAATGTCAGAACGAGGTGACTGCACACCATTTTTAGATCAACCTCACACCTGACATCAACAGCCAGCTGGTATATAATCCATACTGGTTTAATTCACGATCCATCAGCTGCGAACAGCTGGGTGTGTTTGTCGTTACCATTCAAGTTCACCGCGACACAGGATATACTCACTTCCCAGCAGCGTAGACCTCCGCTGTGTCAAACAGATTGATGCCRTTTTCGTAGGCCAGAGTCATCAGCTGCTCTGCCATCTGTTGAGAAAACAAGGGGTAAGGAACAGGAAGGGGTGAGAGCCTGATGTGAGGAGTTTCTAAATACTCATCTGTCTCAATAAATTTGCAAAAAAAAATGCTACACTAATATAGTAAACAAGTTTGTTTCTTTAAAGTGATCCACGATTGGTTGTAACATTAAACTTTATTTGATAAACATTTATTTTAACTGTAAAATAAAGACTGTAAAAATACTGTAGGCTGTTTAGTTTGGTAAATATTAAAAAATTTTATTTTAACATGAATGGAACCATTTTATTTACACACAAAGCATTCTGGGTAAATGATGACGT